ATATATATTCGAATTTATTTGCCAATTTTTTTTTAAAATTTCCATAACGCTATTTATTTATTTATTATTTTCTGTTCACTGTACAGAACTTAAATTATTGCAAAATTATTGTAGCTTATAATTACAGCGCTATTCCTCTTTTCCTCCTTTGCAGATCAGGAAAGGATCAGGAATTTATTAATATAATTATTTAAAATGCATCATAATTTTATCTAGTAGTTTCGAATAATTTCTATGATGTTGGTCAAATCTACAAAATAATGACAAAACACTTATATATTCCATAATTTAAATTTCTTAAATGATTTTACAATGAATCTTTAATTTATCTACAATAACTTATTAATTAATTTACAACATCAACTTTTTTGCACTGTGAAAAAATAGCTTTGTTTTATGATTATTAACTTCTGTGTAGCAGAGCTGAAACTTAGTAATTAGAAACTTTAGTAAGTAGAATTAATTTATTTTTATGTACAGCCCAAATTTATTAAAGTACTAGACGCCTAAGGCGGCCAGCTGTCCGCCACGCTAAAGGTTTTCACAGATAAAGTTTTTTAAAACATAGCAGGAAATCTTAAGATTAGTGGACAATTAAAGTGTTCCTGTCCTGCTGTGAAATATTATGTGCTTATGCGCAGCCTATTTTTTGTTCCTATTTAAAGATGGCAACGAGAAGAGTTTTGGTGGTTGCCATGGTAAGTTTAGAATGAAAATAGTTTTGAGAGAGTTTAAGATTTGTCTTTTGAATTTTCGGCGATTCTGTAATTTTGTTGTAAATAAATCTTCCTTTTTATAATAAACGTAATAGTAGAGGTTTCTTGATTACTTGATTCGAAGTCTTTCCTTGAGGTCATCTTTTTATTTTGTGTATTTTTTGACATATGGCGTCCGTGACAGGACGTTGAGATTTTAGAAAACGACTATTACTGAATCTGAGTGAAAATGGAAGTATTGAATCAAGTGAGAACACAGCATCGTAGATTGTTTACTCAGTCATGCAATGGTTTTGCAAAAATTGAGACTGAAATGAACGATGAAGAGAAATTGTTGAAATTAAGATTCATATCAAAAAGAGGTAAGCAATTACTTATATCTGAAGAAAATGTAAGAACTGAGTTGTTTTCGGAAGGAAATTGATAAAGAAATAGATGATTCCGAATCTTATATTGATAAAATTAGAGTTTTCGATATTAAATTGGAAAATTTACTTTATTCTATTTCTGAACAACATAATATGTCCGTTACTAGCCATTTAGTTGTTGGTCCGACTAATTTGCAGTATCCAAAGATTAAGCTTCCAGTCTTTGATGGAAATTTGAAAAACTGGCTCAGTTTTTGGTGCCAATTTGAGAAAATTGACAAAGATCCGAATATTGGCGACCATGATTAATTCCTTTATTAATCGCAATCCATGTTAAAAGGATCACCTGCTGATGAACTTTTAAGGAGTTTTCCTCCGAGTGGAGAGAGTTATAAAGCTGCAATTAATCAGCTTAAAACTCGGTATGGAAAGGATGAACTGCTGATTCAAGTGTATGTGAGAGAGTTATTAGCTTTAGTATTACAGAAGCAAAGCAAATCTGAGAAATCTCTGCGGAAACTTTATGATCAACTTGAGTCAAAACTTCGATCACGATCACTAGAAGTGTTATGAGTAACAAGAAAAAAATATGCTGCAATGTTGTTTCCTCTAGTCGAGTCATCAATTCCGGAGGAAACACTCAAAGCGTGGGAAAGATATCGGACTATAAATAAACGGTCAATTATTCATGTTGTTCCAAATGTTGAAGGAGCTGAACCAATTACCAAGACTGAGTTGGATACTTTGCTAGAGTTCTTAGAGGGTGAAGTAGAGGCTGAAGAGAGAGTGAACATGGCATCTCAATCCTTCGTGAGAGGTACAGATGATAGTGAGAAACGAAGAATTCCTACGAACGGTAGATTCCAGTTGAAACAAAAATTTGGTAAATCTGCACAAGTGCCTTCCACTTCTACTTCTGAATTGCTTACTTCACCACATGAAAAGAGAAAGTGCCTTTTTTGTGAAAACCAGCACAATTCTTGGGATTGTGAATATGCAAAAAATTGGAGTTTGAATGATAGAGAAACGGCTGTTGCAAGATCACGTTGTTGTTTCTTATGCTTACGACCAGGGCACAGAGTAATAAATTGCAGACGGAAACCATGCTTTAATTGTGGTAAAAAGCACAATATACTTCTTTGCAGAGGAGTTGTGGCCAGTAAAGAAGTTCAAAACCCAGTGAGTAAGGCAACCGAAAGTGTCGTTGGCGATAACGTCTTAACTCGCCAGTCTCTTCATTCTGAAGTTTTATTACAGACTCTAGTCCTGCGCATAAGAAATGGAAATAAAGACAAACTTGTTTGAGCTATTATTGATACAGGCTCTGAGAGAACATACATTACGAGAGACGTAGTCAAGTATTTGGGTATAGAGAAATGTGGAGAAATTATGTTAGTACACAAATTGTTTGGAGGTGTATCATCAGGTGAAAAGTATCATTCTCAATACAAAGTTACTTTAGCGAGTATTGATAACAAATTTAATTGCAAAGTACTTTGTTTAGATCAACCTGTGATTTGTGATTATGTCAATCGCATCCCATATGGTCCATGGATAAAGAAGTTGAATGAATATGGAATTTGTGTGAAAGTACAGTTCTCTAGGAGTATCTAATGACGTCAAATTATTACTTGGAGCTGATGTGACCGGCAAGCTTTTCACAGGCAATGTAAAATTTTTGATTGAAGGTGCTGTTGCCGTTGAGTCACATCTAGGGTGGACTCTTATGGGGAAGATACCGAAAAATGATATTGCTGTGACGACAAATTCTTCTCTTTCATTGCTTTTAACTGAAGCATCAGTGAATCAACTGTGGTCATTGGATCTTTTGGGAATCACAGATCCATCTGCGAAGAAAGTGCAGGCAGAGTTGCAAAGAGCTACGCAAGAGTACTTTTTGGAGACAATCAGACTAGATGTAGAAAACCGTTTTGTGGTTAGCATGCCTTGGCTGGAAGATCATCCTCCATTGCCAACCAACTGTGACCTGGCGTATAAAAGATTGAATTCAACTGTCAACCGCCTTAAATTGCAGTCGATTTATAAACAGTATGAACAAGTTTTTAATGAATGAATGGGGGAGGGAATAAGAGAAGAAGTAAAGGATAATTGTGAGGAAAATGTACACTACCTACCTCATCGTGCACTTATAAAACCGAATAGCACCACCAAAATTAGACCCGTATTTGATGCTTCAGCTAAGGCCGAAGGTTTTCCAAGTTTAAATGATTGCTTAGAGAAGGATGAAAATCTTATTGAATTGATACCAAGCATTTTGAAGCGATTTTGGACTGAGAGAATTGGTGTCGTTTCAGACATCCTTAAAGCCGTCTTACAAATCGGACTTACTGAAACTGATAGGAATTACCTAAGATTTTTGTGGCTTAGTGATGAAGGCTTGAAGATTTACAGGCATTGCAGGATAGTATTTGGAGTCACCAGTAGACCATTTCTGTTGTCCTCAACTGTCAAATACCTTCTGATGAATGTTTTGAAAGAAATAAGGGAACAAAGATCTACTTATCCTGAATATGTTGTACAAAAACTAATGAAAAGTTTTTATGCAGACAATTGTGTCACGAGTGTCAAGGATATAGAAGAATTGAATATGTTTGAAAGAGTTGCTAATGAAATAATGGCAAGGAGAAAATTCGATCTTAGAGGGTGGGAGTACACCGACTTAACCGAGGAAACTTCACAGCCACCTACAAATGTTCTTGGTATGAGCTGGGATAAGAAATATGATACTCTTCAAGTGAGTACAGGTTGCATTAAAGAGCTTAACATTGAGAAAGTAACGAAGAGAACCATCCTGTCAGCTGCACATAGACTTTTTGACCCCTTGGGTATGATCTGTCCTGTAACGTTGATCCCAAAATTGCTTCTTCAGAGCATTTGGAAGTTGAAACTGAATTGGGATGATGATGTTGAGGAAAACATCAGAAGAGAATTTCTGAAATGGATTGAAGGTGTACTGTATATTGAGAAAATTAATATTCCAAGGTATTTTGGACTAAGTGGAGCCAAGAAGTCTTCCATTCATTTCTTTTGTGATGCAAGTAACTTGGCCTACGCTGTGGTTGCTTACATTAGAGTGGAGTCTGAGAATAATGTACGAGTTCAATTACTACAGGCGAGAAGTAGAGTAGCCCCTACAGGAAAAGGAGAAATTACCATAGCACGACTTGAACTTCTGGAAGCAACCATTGCATCTCGTCTTTCAACCCCAATTTTGTCTGAGTTAACTCATGATGAAGTGTTTTTTTGGTCAGATTCCACAACTGTTTTGGCCTGGATCAAAAGAAGTGAACCATGGGCCATTTTTGTTTATAATCGAGTGCGTGAAATCAGAGAGCAAACTGATGTTAACACCTGGAGACATGTTCCTGGAACGATGAACCCAGCTGATTTGCCAAGTAGAGGATGTTCTGCACAACAACTTCTGCGATTGCAATGGTCAGAGGGTCCCAGTTGGTTGCACTTACCTCAAGATTTGTGGCCTTCGTCTGAAGATGTCGTTAATGAGGAGGAAGTAAGCTGTGAGAAAAGAAAAAGTGTCACAACCTCAATGATAAATTTTGAAGTGACAAAACTTTTGAGTTCTAATATTTCTGACTATCGAAAAATTTTACATACTATGGCATGGGTGAAGATATTCCTTTTGGGTGAAGAGAAAGGGAGATCTTTCTGTTAAGGAATTAGAAGAAGCTGAGAAAACTACTGTATACTTAATACAGCAGGAGTCATTTACAGGAGTTTCAGATAAACGCCTTAAAACTCTAGATGTATTTATTGATGAGAAAGAAATCTATAGATTAAAAACAACGGTATATAAAAGAGATGATTTTGAAGAGTTTAGAACACCTGCTATTTTACCTGGAGAAAATTCTATAGTAAAACGTTTAGTACTGTTTGAAAATAAGAAAAAGGGACATGCTGGTGTTTCCTACACATTGAATTCTCTTAGAGAAAGATTTTGGCTGCTGTGTGGTAGAAGAACAGTAAAATCTGTATTGAGATCTTGCGTAGTCTGCAAGCGTTTTTCTGCCAAATCTGTAGATCCACCAACTGCATCACCACCAGCTGATAAAGTTCAAGATGCAGCTGTTTTCCAAGTAACGGGAGTGGACTTTGCTGGTCCTGTGATTTTGAAAGACAATTCAAAGGCCTGGATATGCATTTTTACCTGTGCCGTTTATAGAGCTACGCATCTTGAATTAGTCACATCACTATCAACTGAGGCATTTTTACTATGTTTCCATCGATTTGTTTGCAGAAGAGGAAAACCTTCGATTGTATACAGCGATAACGGAACGAATTTTACAGGGAGTGTAAAGGCATTATCTTGCATTGATTTTAAACAGGTTTTTATTAAGGCGAGGGATCAGCAGATTACCTGGAAATTCATACCTCCTAGTGCTCCCTGGTGGGGAGGCTTCTGGGAAAGGCTTGTTGGAATGATGAAAGGTCTGCTGAAGAAAACCTTAGGTCGAGATAGTTTAACATATGAAGAAATGCAAACAGCTTTATGCAACTGTGAGGTCATTTTGAACGAGAGACCTTTGACAACTGTGTGTTCTGACGCCAGTCTTACTGCTCTTACACCTGCAGACTTCCTAAAAGAGAAAAAACCCAGCTTTGTTCCGGACATCAAAACCAAAACTGATCCCAATCATCTGCGAAGGAGAATACAATACCTACAAACAATTAGAGAAGCTTTTCGAGTAAGGTTTCGTCAAGAATATTTAGGCGCCTTGTGTACTAGGCAGAAAAAGAACACCTTTCAACCATTGAAAGTAGGTGATATTGTGATCCTTGGAGATGATAACAAGAAATGGATCTTATGGCCACTCGGAAAAGAGATGGAAACAATGCCGGGTACTGATGGAGTTGTACGCCGAGTGAGAATGAAAACTAAACAAGGAGAGCTAATCAGAGCAGTACAAAGGGTGCATCCTTTAGAAATTTCTTCCAGTGAAAGTTTACCAGTTGCTAAGTGTGAGAAATTTATTGCCAATAACAGTAGAAAGGACAACATTCCAGTTTCTTTGAAAGATAAGAGCTTTGCAAAAATTCCCGTTGTGACTAGGAGTGGACGAGCTGTTAGAAAACCTGACAAACTATCTTTATAAAAACTCCATAGTGATTTAGAACTTTAATTTTTATTTCAAATTCTTGTAAAGTGTCATTTTAACATAATATATCTTTAGGCTATGTAAGTTAGCTTTGTTAATGTTGTTAACTTAGGTGGGAGGATGTGAAATATTATTTGCTTATGCGCAGCCTATTTTTTGTTCCTATTTAAAGATGACAACGAGAAGAGTTTTGGTGGTTGCCATGGTAAGTTTAGAATGAAAATAGTTTTGAGAGAGTTTAAGGTTTGTCTTTTGAATTTTCGGCGATTCTGTGATTTTGTTTTAAATAAATCTTCCATTTTATAATAAACGTAATAGTAGAGGTTTCTTGATTATTTGATTCGAAGTCTTTCTTTGAGGTCATCTTTTTATTTTGTGTATTTTTTGACACCTGCAATTTTGTCTTCATATCCATTTCTGCTGCAGATGTGTTATAGCTCTTGAGGATGTTTGAAGATGTAACTTTGCTACGGTAACCTAAGGCCTATGGTAACCTATGGTAAAAAAAATAGAGCGTGGAAAGAAGAAGAAAAACTTATTATAACAATTATGAACAAATATATCAAAGCGAAGCGTTCTATTTACGTATCGAATATGTTGCCACATTTTTAATTCAAAAGTTAAACTTTTCTCCACTTTGATAAATGTAAACTAATGCGAACCTTAGAATTAAATTATTAATTCCTTCGTATATTATTGGTTTAAGTTGTCGAAAATTAATATTTCATTAGTAAGGTTCGCATTAGCATACATTTATAAGAGTGGAGAAAAGTATATGCATTTTTAATAGTTTTTTGAATAGCTCCTTGAAGACGGAAAAGCATAAATTTTCTTACAAAATGACTGATAACTAAAAAACTAATCCAAATTTTTGAAAAAGAAAAAAAAACTTCTTCATTATGTCAAAACACAATTATGTGCCGAGTTTCGTGCCTGGGCGAGACTTCTGGAGCGAAATATTGTGATTACAGATAGACAGACAGACAAACAGACACACAACCGCGTTTATTACTATGTATAGATTTTAGATAGGTTTAGACAATATTTATGTAAAAAAATTTATTTTTGAATCAAATTAGAAATAGTTGTTGATTTTTAAAGTAAATTATTAGTTAATTATAATGCCTGTATAATAGATAGGTCAAAATAATCATAAAAAATTTGTTACAGTGTGTTTAATTTGCTTAGTTTCTGTAAATAAACATCCGGGTGGCAGAGCTTAGAAGGAATGGATTTTTCTAATATGTTTAGTGATACACATTATTATTTAATTATTTTGTTTATTAACAGTAGAATTCATTTAGTTTTTTAAGTGTCTTAAACTTATTAAAATGGTTTAGTAATGTTTGGATACTATTTGTTAAGTCTTGATCGGTGGGTGAGTGTGCTCTCTCCTTGGCGATAATGCTTGTTGTGATTCATATAAGAAATAGTTGTTATGTTTTTTACTTTAGATATTAGTTACTCCCGTATTATAAGTAGGAATCAAAAATTTGCTACAGTTAGTTTAAATTGCTTTGTTTTAGCAAATAAACTTCCGGGAGGAAGAGCGTTGAATCAATTTTTCTGATATTTTTACTGACACACATTATTATTCAATTCTTTTGTTTATTAACTGCATACTTATTAACTGCAGTATTTATTGTGTAGTTTATTAACTGCAGATTGTTGTTTTTTTAAATGTTCAAAACTTCTTAAAATTTTTCAATTAGGTTTTGATAATATTTGTGAAAGAAGTCTTGTATTAAGTGGTAGAGCTTCTGGGTGGCGGAGCTTCGAATATAAGGATTTTGCTGATATTTTCACAAATACGCATTACTATTTATATATTTTATCTATTAAGAGTAGACTTAATTAATTTTATATATGTATCAATTTTTTTCAAATTTTTCAGTTAGATTTTGATAATATTTATACCAAAAATTCTTATTTTTTATTGGTGAATGGGCTCTCTCCTTAAAGATAATGTTTGTTATGATTCATGTTAGAAATAGTTGTTGATTTTTTACATTAGATTAAGTAGTTTAATTAAGTAGTTTAAGTATAATGCCTGCATAATAAATAGAGCAAAGTAGGGATAAAAAATTTGCTACAGTGTACTGTGGGCCAGAAGACCATGATCTTTGGCCAAAAGTCTAAATTAAAATTTCAACTAAAATATGTGTAGGCAGTTTTAATATCGCCCAAATTAAGTATTCATAATCATTCCAAACATTATAATTTACTTTTTGGACCGGCGAGAGTACAATGTAGTGAAAAATATGTCAATTTTTTTTTTAAATGTAACTTTCAAATTTATATTTCAGATATATATATATATATAGGAATTACACCTTACTCTTGCATTTTTATCAGAGTAATTAGTCTGAAATAATAGTACAATTTTTCAATTTGTTGGAATAGTTCAGTGATTCTCAACCTGTGGGACGCGAGCACACTTGAGGGAGCGCGAGGATATCCAAGAGATAATATTATTTGGGAAAATTGATTAACTGGATGAAAGGAAAACGCACATACACATAGAAAACAAAATACATTTCGACATATTTAATAACTTATTAAAATGAAACAACTTATTAAATCAAAACTTAAGGAGGGGAGCCATAAACGGCTTTGCTTTGAAGATTTTTCCTAATTTTCTGGTTAAGTCTGCGCCGCTGAAATGTTTTTTGTAACATCTTGCACCTATCTCTAATATATATCACGTATACTTTTAAATTTAAAATAAAATTTTATTTATTTTATAGTACAATTTCAAAATTGTAGCTTCTGCACCTAAGGTTTCCCACAGGTTCCAAAAGTCAGCCATATATTGAAATCACTTTTTCACTTACTCAAATTATCTTTAGATAAGACACTTGGACTCCCCAATGTCTTTCAAAAAGGTACTTTAAGTGTCTTACTGGTAGGAACAATTTTCCCGACTTTAAAAAAGATAGTTGTTTTTAGAGTGTATAATTTGTTTATTGATTTTACACTGATAGTTCTTCTGTGAAGTCACTAGCGATTCTTTTGAGCTAACTCATTAGAATTAATTAAGAATTACTGAGTAACTTTTTTCAAAAGGGTTAACTAACAAGTAAGAGTCAAATAACCATAATAGAGTTAACTGATCTAACCTATAACTATTATAAAAATACCCAAATTTACAAGAAAATACCAGAATCTACCATAAAAACACTCATAACTATCACAAAAATAAAAATAAAAAATACCTGAAAAATTACTTTAAAATGCAAACAAAAGAAAAAACTTGAAACAAAATATCGCAAACTCTACTAAAATGCATTGAACGTCAAAATATTATAAAAATTTAAAATATACCACAGTTCCACATTTGTTTAAAAGGAAATAAATCAGTTGCTATTCAATTAAATTATTCCTTTTTGAGAAATAATATGCTACGTAATGATTTATAATTAACTCTTTTATAAATTTCACGTTTGTTTCCGAAGGTGGCCCACGTGTCCCCAAGGGGGCACCGGTGTCAGGCCACATTGGGAACAAGCATATGGTCACCATTTGCACGACTTAAAAATATTAATCTGATAGATTTATTCGAATTAAAGTAATGTGGTTAAAGAAAAGGAAAGAAACTTTCAGAAAGCATATCAAAACTCAAAGTTCTAAGAATTTAAACACTTTTAAGTAACAATATCTTCCCCCCCCCCCCCAGAAATTAGAACGACAGCTGCAAAAAATTAAATCACTTCATACAATGGAGGCCATTCAAAGAAATATCTTCAAATTCAGCCTCGTGAATCTCAGATACAAGATTTACAATGCAGCAGGGACATCTTATAATCTATACATAATAATAAACGCGGCTGTGTGTGTGTGTGTCTGTAATCACAATATATCGCCCCAGAAGTCTCTCCCAGGCACGAAACTCGGCACATAATTGTTTTTTGACATAATGAAGAAGTTTTTTTTTCTTTTTCAAAAATTTGGATTAGTTTTTTAGTTATCAGTTATTTTGTAAGAAAATCTATGCTTCTTCGTCTTCACAGAGCCATATTAAAAAAACTATTAAAAAATGCATATATTTTTCTCCACTCTTATAAATGTATGCTAATGCAAACCTTACAATTGAAATATTAATTTTCGACAACTTAAACCGATAATATACGAAGGAATTAATAATTTAATTGTAAGGTTCGCATTAGTTTACATTTATCAAAGTGAAGAAAAGTTTAACTTCTGTATTAAAAATGTGGCAACATATTCGATACGTAAATAGAACGCTTCGCATATTTGTCGCTGTTCATAATTGTTATAATAAGTTTTTCTTCTTGCAGGACAGGAACACTTTAATTGTCCACTAATCTTCAGATTTCCTGCTATGTTTTTTAAAACTTTATTTGTGAAAACCTTTAGCGTGGCGGACAGCTGGCCAAAAAAAAAATTAATAATTAGTACCTGATCAAAAAATACTAAATTTAAAAAAATTAATAATTATTAGTGACTTCCTTGGGCCTATCTTGCAGAACAAAGTTTTTTGAGGTGAGGCTTAATATTAAAAAAAAGCCACTCTCAGTTTTGTTTCTATATTTAGCTGTGATCTATATTTTGTCTTCAAAAAAGCCACATCTGAAAATCCAGTTTCACAGAGGTAGGATGTTGAAAAGAGTAATAGAATGCGAAATGCCCTTGTTTTTAGAGTAGAAAAATCATCCTACTCCTGCCTAAAAATCAAATAGTGATTTATTACTAAATTGCATTTTGGTTTCGCCACTTGTCGTGAAGTCTATGAATTTTTTTTCCTCATCAATTGAGAGCTCTTCGGGAGTCTTATGAAATGGATTCCTAACCCACTCGTAAATTGCTATCAGTTTGCCGTCGGCAAGAAAATATTTTTTCAAATTCTTTGCCAGCATGGCTAAATGATTTTCAATGGTTACAAAAGCAACTTTTACGTGTTCTTCTTCAGCCTTAAAAAGTTTAAGTACAATTATCCACATTTGCAAACGTTGTTTGGTTTTTTTTGCTTTTCTGCCACACAATTCCAATTTTCTACAAAAAGCATTAACTTTAGCACACGTATCCAACATACGTGTATTTGCTCTTTCGAGTAGAAGATTCAAGTTATTTAATTTCTCGAATATGACGACCAAGTAGCTCAATTTCATCACAAATAAACAATCGTGAAAATTCTCGGATTCTGGTCTGTTATCTTCTTCTAGGAAAATGGCGATTTCTTCTCTTAATTCATAAACATGTTGCAAAAATTTCTCACGTGATAAACATCTTGCATCGCATTTAAATAGAAACTCTGAATGTATTCAACCAATACCTCCTAGAATAAGGAAGGCCTCAGCACGGGTTAACATAAATGAAAAATCCGATCCGTCAGTAGTCCAGCGAAGTAGACCTGAATGGCTGCCACATTCTTCCATTAGCATTGGCGTCATTCATAGCTTTGATTTTGGCGAAATGGAATTCCGATGACCATTACAGTCATTGCCTTAAACCCTTGTTGGCGCCGGTTTTTCCCTTCCACGTGTTTCGTTATTTTTAATTCGTTTTTGTGAAGTTTTAAGTTTATTATAGCTACTGCTGGATTACATATTTGCAATATATATTAATGTGTCATGCCTTACCATTGCTGTGCAGTAAACTGCAAAGGAAATTATGCTAACGGTCCAAAAGTTGCCGTATTTAATTTTCCCAAAGATGAAGCTCAACAAAGACGTTGGCTACAAGCACTCTCACGGAAGGATTTTATCATCACTAAGAATTCTCGAGTAAGTTTTTTCACTTATTGTTTATTTCTGTTGCAATCGGGGTTCGTTGATTTAAATCAACAATTTCTTTTTTAAAATATTCATTCATGTAGTTAAATCAAATTATATTAATTTTTTTTTGGAAAAAAATATATATTAAATTTAGAAGGCATTTTAAATGAGATTGTGCAAATTTTTCATGATTTTCATAGTTTTAAAATTTGCTTTAATTACATTTTTGTGTGAGAAAGTTTGACAAAATATGAAAACATATTGCAAGCTATAAAACTCAAACAATATGAAACGATATAAAAAAAAAATATATGTTAAATTTAGAAGGCATTTTAAATGAGATTTTACAAATTTTTCATGATTTTCATAGTTTTAAAATTTGTTTAAATTACATTTTTGTGTGAGAAAGTTTGAGAAAATGTGAAAACATAATGCAGGCTATAAAACTCACAACAATATGAAACCGAAAATTTAAATAATTCAAAAAAATAAAAAAAAAATCACGAACCTCTGTTACAACAGTTCTATAAGTATTTTAATATTGTTTTTCCTAGAGTGATAATTTAAAATTTTACCTGAAATTAAAAGTTTTACTTAAATTTTAATTTGCATCCCTTACTTCATTGGGTATTGTGCATTACTAGTCTTGGTTTTGTGGGAAAAAAAAAGAAATTGTAATTGAAATTTTAACATATTTCATTGAGTATGACTTTCAACAAATATTTTGATTTTTCTGAAATTGTTTTCCGTTGAGTTTAGAAATATGAAAACATTTTAAGAGTGAGAACTAAATGTGAGAACATTAAAAGTTTTTTTTAATTTTTTTTTACATCAAATATGTAAAAAAGTTTATGACATCAAAACTATAAAGTATTTAGTATAATATTTTTTGAAGAAATAGTTAAAAATAAAAACAAAGTACTTAAAATGTATATTTGTTTTTAGGTGTGTGAGAAACATTTTTCATCGGATGTCATAATTAAAGAAACTGTGAAAACTGATCCAAAGACTGGTGAAATAAAAAAAATTCCCCTAAGTCGATTTAAATTGAAAAAAGATGCCATTCCTACCATTTTTGAAGGTTGTCCAGAGAATATGACTAAAGATCTTCCTCTGAGAGAATCGCGAGAAGACAAATTAAGGAATTTAGAAGAGAAAAATTTTAATCTTGCCATAAAAGAGAGTTTGCAGGCTTCTGAGGAATATGAAAAAAACCATTATTTCAATAATTATGAGGAATTCAAGAGGATTCTCAGAGATAACATGGATTCGTCATGGTCATGCCAGGATTTTATTTCAAAAACATGTTTCTTTTCTTTCTGTTTTGAACCTCAACCTAACATTATAAAATCTGTAGTAGTCAATGAAAATTTATCCGTGGAATGTTTTTTTAAAAATGTAAAGTTATCATCAATTGGTAATTTTTCTATGCCCTATACTTTAACCTCTATAAATGATTTGCAACAAATTTTGGATTTATTTAAAAATACAAACTATATTCATAGCTCTAAAGATATTATTGATTCAGTAAAAATTTTACTTACTAAGTTAAAACCTCTATTGCCCGCAGATAAAAATTCAGTCATTGAGTTTTTGTCTGAGGAAATTTCACTGTTAACTGTTGATAAAAATGTATTGCGTTATAGTTCAAATTTTTTGATATTTTGTAGTTTAGTTTATTCTATTTCACCTCATTGTTATAAATTTATTAGAAATTCTAACAACCTAATTTTGCCTCATCCATCAACTATAGAACGACTTTGTTCATCATTTAGCATGAATCCCAAAGATGAACAATTTGATGAAAATTTTTTGCTTTATGCTAAACAAAAAATTCAGTATTTAAATGAACACCAAAAAATTGTTTCCTTAATGATGGATGAGATACATTTAAAACAATACTATGATTATAAAGCTGGTAATATTGTTGGAAAATCTGTCAATAATGATAAAGCAGCTAATTCTGCTTATGTTTTTATGTTGCAAAGTTTTTTATCTGATTTTGAAGATGTTGCACACATTTTGCCTGTTTTCAATATTAATGCTGATTATTTATACACTTTTCTTGTAAAAATTATTTTAGGTTTGGAAAAAATTGGATTTCATATTTTATGTGTAACTTCTGATAATAATTCTTTAAATGGTAAAGCGATGTCCTATTTTTCTACCCCATCTAAATTAAGTTTTGTTTATGCCCACCCAGCAGATCCCGAAAGGTCATTATTCTTTTTATTTGATCCTGTACACATTTTTAAATGTTTAAGAAACAATTGGCTCAATCAAAAAAATGGTCATAATATGTATTTTTTGGACTTTTCGGATTTTTCTAAAACTAAAACTGCCTCTTTTAAAACTCTTAGAAACATTCATTCTTTGGAAGAAGGGCAGTTGATTAAATTTGCGTATGGAATCTCCATTAAGGCTTTAAATCCCACTAGTATGGAAAGACAGAATGTGAAACTTGTTTCACAAATATTTAACGATCATGTCATTTCAGGTTTAAGAGCTCTTTGTGAGCAAACTAATGACCTTAGTTGTTCAGACACAGCCGATTATATACAAATTATTTCAAATTGGTGGAAAATAATGAACGTGAAAAATCCAAATAAAGGTGTTCACAAAAAGGATAAATTTTCTGAACCAATATCAAATGCTGGTAATGATGAAAGAATTGTTTTTCTCAAAACCTTTCTTAATTGGTTAACTGCTTGGAAAGCAGCAAATTATTCTTCAGGATTTTTATCTAAAGAGACATTTACTGCTTTGTTTCATACTACGAGTGCTGTCATCGAATTGTCAAAATATTGTTTTGAAAATTTAAATTTCAGATACTTTCTCACGGGCAAAATACAAACTGATGCTCTTGAACGTCGTTTTGGAAAATTTCGGCAACTTTCTGGGGGGCAATATAATATATCAATAAGACAAGTTTTTGAAACAGAAAGCAAATTGAGATTACAATCTGTTGGCCCGTTAAAAATTAAATCCTCTTCTTTTGGTGAAATAGATATCAATTTGGTAGAAACTGATAATGCAGAAAATGAGGTAGAAAATGAAAAATTAAATTTTGGTAAAGAAATTGATGTTAATGAAGATGATTTAATTCCATTAGTTTGTATTTTGCCTGTGCTTACTTATATTGCTGGTTTTTGTTGCTATTGTTATTTAAAACGTAAAAAATGTTCATCTTGTGAGAAATCTATCACATTAACAGATATCGAAGAGAAATTTAATGTGATAGATGAAGTGGAAAACTCTTACATTCAAACATTAGACAGAGGTTGTTTGGTATACCCTAAGCATGAAATTGTTGACATAATCTTGCACGCATATGTGGTAGTTCAAAAATTAGTTTCTGAAGAGTTTGAAAGCTCATTTCTACAAATGCATAATCATAAAGTTTTGGCTATTGATACTACTATTAATGTTTTGGAAAGAAAGGAAATATTCTTAAATAACAATCAATGCTCTGCTCATGATTCCAGTTTCATTGTAAAATTTTTGGTAACTCGAGCCATTAACACCTTTTTAAGCAATTATTGTAAAAAGCTAAATGATTCAATTTTAACTGAACGACTTAATAAAAAGAAAGCTAACTTAAACTTAAAAGTAACTCAATCTAAAATTGAACCAGAAACTAAGAAAAGAAAACTACAAACATTAAAATAAAGGAGCTGTTTGTTTTTTTCAACATTAAAATATAGAATCAATTTTTGATACAGCTTCTGTTTTTTATTTGTAACTTTTAAGACAAGTAGCATTATAATACTTTTTGAGTTTATTTGAAAAATATTTTGTATGACTAGACTAATAAATTAATGTTTAAGTGGTCATATTTTTAATAAGCTGAAGAGATTTAAAATGAAATCTTACATTGTTTCTATATTTGTATTTGAAATAAACAGTTTTGTTGCTTGTTTCATCACTTTTCATTTTTGAAAGCTGTGAAAAGCTAGTAACTTGTAAATAATTTTACTATACTACACTAATTTAAAATTGTGTTCAAATTTCAATAAAGTTAAGGATATAACTTTATATCAGCTGTCTTAAAAATGAAAATTTGTTTTCATAAAAAATTTTACTCAATGATAAAATTATTTATTATATATAGCTTGTTTTATGTATATATTTAAATGAAAGAATAATAATAAATGCTTACATAGATAAATTGTCAAATAATATTGTCTCATTCCTTTAAATAAATTACAAAAGGTATATTAGAGTGCAATTTTTTTTTAATATCTTTATTTCAATTGATAATGCAATTAAAATAATTTTTCTCAGAATGTTAGTATATGTTCGATAAATTTCATTCTTTTCAGTAGAGACGAAAAGTGCTTAAAAAATTTTATTTTTTGAAAGGTAAGTTTCTAATTAAAAACAAACTCATATAAAGTATCCGATCGAAGCTTTTCTGAAAAGACGCGGTAAGGATTCTCGTTGGACTACTAAGGATTGAGAGGGGTGTGTCGTGCTGAGGCCTTCATTCTAGGAGGTGTTGATTCAACCCATGTCTTTACGAAGTGCGGAAAAGATTCTCGATCTCTGGGTTCTTATTTTTATATAATTTACGACGGTTACAACAGTTATTAACACATTTCTCATCAACAGGACTCATTTCTTTCGACGCCAAAGCTTCTCTGTGGATCCTGCAATGTGTCCAGACGCATTGAGGCAATTTTTGTTTTACTAGTGCTTGTATACTTTCGAACCTTCCGGATATTGAACGAGCACCATCGGTGCACATTGCGATGCAGTTTTTGCATTCTATGTTTGCCTCATTCATAAAATCATTTAAAATAGTAAATAATGCGAGCGCTATTGTTTTGAGTTCTATTGATTTGCTGAAAAGCAGTTCTACTACTGACATATTATCGCAAAATCAAACATAGGCAATTAAATGAGCATCTATATTAATATCTGTTGCTTCATCAAGCTGTATTGAAGACAATTTGTCCCGCAACATCGAGAAAAGCTGACACTATACATTTTCAGCTATATCACCAATTCGACGAGCAACAGTATCATTTGAAAGAGGTATGAACTGTAATTGTTTCGAAATATTAACTCCAAAAATAGTTTCAACAATCTCAATTGCTGCTGGCTTTTACTTTACTTTTTCTTTGGCAGTTAGTTAAGAATAATTTAAAGACAGAATTCAAAATACTCTATATACGTTATTGTTGTATTACATTTTACTGTAAGGGGGGCGCGATGAAAATTATGATTTAAAACTGGGCCGCGAATACAGAAAGGTTGAGAAACGCTGGATTAGTTAATACTCTTGACAAACTTATAGTTTATATCTTATCATTTGACATTTTACTATGTTTGAATCACTTTCGAAACTTATTTCCAAAAATTTCCACCAGGTAATAAGCTAAACTGTTTTTTGTTGTCTTCTTTGATGTTTCTTCTTTCGAAAACACCTGCTCCATTTTCCCCATATTGCAAAGGTGGACTAAATTTACCGAAAAACTAAAATTATGTTTTTTTTTCATGTTTCTGCGTTATTTTGCAATATTACTTCGAAAATATAATTTGCTTTTCATTTTTAATATAAAATTACGAAAATTATTATATTTTCATTGCTATATTTAATTATTTAAACGTATTATATTATTTTATTTTTATTTTTGCTCGCCATCTTTCTGTCGCCATTTTCTTTTTTTTGTTGGTATTTTTAGTGTATTTCATAATTTCAACTATGAATTCAATTTACCTGCACATAAAATCCCCTAAATAAAAACCCCCCAAATTTTGAAACAAATTTTATCGAAATGCTAATTTTGGCCACAAAATCTTGGATGCTGGCCCACTGTGCAGTGTGTTCAAATTGCATTGTTTTAGTAAATAAACTTCCAGATGGCAGAGCTTTGAATGAATGAAATTTCTGAGATTTTTACTAACACACATTATTATTCAATTCTTTTTTTATTAACTGTAGACTTAATTTATCTTTTTAAGTGTTCGAAACTTCTTAAAATGTTTCGATTAGGTTTTGATAATATTTGTGAAAAAAGTCTTGTATTAAGTGGTTGAGCTTTGGGTGGCGGAGCTTCGAATGTAAGGACTTTGATATTTTCACAAATATGCATTATTATTTGTATAAGTTTCGGTGATGGGGAATGTAAGACGTCAAATGAAACAATATGGCAATGAAACATCCTCTTTAATAGTAAAAGATAGCAAACCATCAAGAAACTCACGAACTCCAATTAACAGGTTATTCGTTAAAAACATTTAAAAGTTGTTATTAAAAGAACTATTAAAGCTTAAACTTTCGATTGTAAATATCTCATACTGCAGGTGGGCCTCACCAGGTAGAAACGGAATATCGGTACGAAGTCTTGGACGCTGCACAACAAGGACGCTGTCCTAGTCCTGTCGGTTGGTCAGGGTGCCTGAGGCCGGAACGGCCCTTTACCCCTTCATCGTGAGATGCAGATCCTTGTAGTGTTTCCTTGAGGTCCTTGTTATCTAAAATTGAAAGTAGAGAATTAGTAATGAGCAAATTGCTCGAGTAACGTCATATATAATGATACATGTTGTAATAAATACATAAAATACAACAAAATAGTACATAAAAATGAAAATAAGATAAATAAGTAATAGAAATTTAACTTCTAAAGAGAAGTTTGTCTAAAATTTTATGCCCCTTTTACAAATTATCTTCATTCTTCTAATCTATTTCATTCTCTCTAAACATGCAGGTTCATTCATTCTATACCTTATTACCATCATAATGATTTTGTCAACGCATCATAGTTTTTCTCCAAGTTTTAATTGTCATATATATTATAGTGCTAATTATACATTAATACAGATATATCAATTATTAGAGCCATTATAAAATGTTTACTTCTAGAAAGAAGTTTGTCAAAATTGTACGTCTCCTGTACAAAATATCTACATTTCACCTCATACGTTTCATTCTTTTGTTATTTACAATGTTCGTTCATTCTATATCATTTTGCCCCTTTACAAAGCATTGTCAGCATATTTATAACAAATCAAAAAGATTCTGTCAACGCTTATATAATATTTACAATATTTACATGTCATGTCCGAGTAAGTTTCCATATATAGTATTTTGATAGTGCCATAAATAATGCCATTGAGTTTGTCCCACACTGTCAGAATTACATCACTTGTCAAAAAGTGTGCAACTGGCCTCAGGGAGGTGTCCTCTACTAAATTTTCGAACTCGAAAATAGAGTCGAAATTTGCTGCATTGCTGTCTAAAGCCTTTTTGAAAAAGTTTTGATTTAGTTTGTTAAAGTGATGTTCGAAACTGTTCAACTCTAGGTCCGTGTGAATACCTACGTTTCTTTGATACCACTCTGCGCCAGTTAGCTTTCTCAAGATCTTGTTCTGCGTTGCTGTGAGTTTCCCAAGCTCACGTTCTGATACATTACACCATGCTTGCGAGGCATAGGTCATTATCGGTCTTATCATGAAGGTGTACAGTAACCTCTTCAGTTTCAAGCTCAATTTTTCGCTGTACATGATGAATTGCAGTTTTAATGTTTCAGCATTGGCTTTATTTTTAACATTTTTCACATGATCCGACCAAGTCTGTCTGTTGTTAATGACTAGACCTAAGTAGGTAGCTTTGTTTACCCTTGGTATCACTTGGTTAAAAAGTACTAGGTCATTATGCTCTCTAATTGATTTCCTGTTCTTCTGGATAATCAATAGTTGGGACTTTTGGGCATTTATCTCGAATTTCCAATCTAAACACCATTCTTCGTAATCGTAAATCTTTTCTTGCAGTTTCTCAATAGCCATGTTCGGGTTACTATATTTCACTATGACACCTGCGTCATCTGCGTAAAATGCAGTTAGACTGTTCCAAATACTACTCCTTTAAAAAAAATAATAAATCATACTTTTTGCGTAAACTAACAAAAAATTGCACGAAGAGTAATAATATCTTAATAAATATACACTGAAGAGTCAAAAAAATTGGTACAGGCATGAGTATGCAAATAAAGGGGTAGGGAGCCGATCAAACTACAGCGCTGCGATCGGCAACGCGTATATAAGACAACTAGTGTCTAGCGCAGTTCTTTGTGATTTATTTTAGACATGACTCTAGGCTTACAGCGAACCCGGTGAAGGAGCAACCCTGTAGGGTCCCATCCGGGCAAGATGTAGGTCTATTAAACTTAAAATGATGAGCAACCCGGTACGAGCGGTTGTTCACCGGGACGACCGGGTCATCGTTATATCAGAGGCTCACACTAATTGATATATAAACAATGTCAATATGTAAATATTGTAAATATATAATAATGTAATTTTCCTTATTTCACAATCTTGTAAATTATCTTGTACATATTTATTTTTCAATTCATTGTTTCTTTAACATGCCAATGACTCTAGGGACTTTCCCAGTACCGGACCTTATAGATAACTAACCAATGTTAGTAAACTTCTTTTTCTTTTCCCTGAACCAAAGCCACTAGTCTCAGTTGCCCTAGGGCCAGTAAATAGATGAAGAAGTGAGGTGCCCGCATTCGCGGACAGGTACTTCGACCAACTACATATCCAAGTCCAAGTCCAAGCGCAGTTCTTAGAGCTGTTACTGCTGCTACAATGCCAGGTTATACAGATTTAAGTGAGTTTGAACGTGGTGTTATAGTTGGTGCACGGGAGATGAGACATAGCATCTCCGAGATAGCAATGAAGTTCGGATTTTCACGTACGGCCATTTCAAGAGTATACCGTGAGTATCGGAAATCCGGTAAAACATCAAATCTACAACATCGCTGCGGTCGGAAAAAGATTCTTGTAACGTGATGTTCAGAAGATATCCCCACCCCCTCTTACTCCCAATGGTTTATGGACAGCCCTAGGATTCATGGTGTCAATTATCTCCAGCACTATTTCACACATTGATCGAATACATGCCACGTCGTGTTGCGGCACTTCTGCGTGCTCGCGGAGGCCCTACACGATATTAGGCAGGTATACCAGTTTTTTTGGCTCTTCAGTGTATAAAAAGACCTTCCCGTGTATTTTTATTGAAATAAATGCACTATTTTTTCCAATATAAGTGATTTTTCTACGAAAATTGCTCTCTTCATGCATCTTATCGATATAGTGTATGTGTAATATGCATAAAGACCCACCCTATTAATTTAGGGTATGAGTTAAAAATCTGTACTATCCCTGCGGCAGGCTCAATCAGTGCCGGTCGGGGAACCCGG